ACCAGATATTAAGAAATACCCTTTCTCTTTTTCCTTCCTGATAATTCAATACATTCATAAAGTATGTAAAGTAAAAGGACCCTTTGACCAATGTTAATTACATTTAACCTGTTATATGTATAGTTGAAGGAACAGCTTAAATATATCATCAAGGATGACTAACTTACCAATATATTCCGAATGTGTCTATTATAACATTTCCATGACATTGCCTGGTTTTCAGAACAATTCTTACCATGAAGAAAAGGAGACATGGTGTTATAATGGTACGTTCATTTCTGTTGTGATATGAAAGTTTTTACTGAGAATGCCTCAGGGCAGCTGTCTGCCTCGTGTGTTCAGTATTATGGATGTATAACACACAGGGGTGGGAGTGTATTAAAGGCAGAGACATTGCAGTCTGTTGGAGGTTGTTGGTGCTAAGGTCCAACCCTGATGAACCCCAGACCAAGCAAAAAAAAAACTTAAATCGTTTGCAAAAATTACCTGGGATACCACTTTCACTGGTTCTTTTGTTCCTGGCTGACACACATCCCTACCTGCAAAGAAAAAACACTTAGGATTACATTTCAGTTCTAGTGCAAATTGGAGCAGCTTCCTTATACACTGAGGTGTTTGGGGGGGTTGATTTTCTGTTTCTACAAAGCATAAGTTTGGCATTGTCTGCACTTATGATATGTGCTAGCAAGCAGGAATGAAGACTTTCACATCTCTCTGGTCCCATGCACACCTTTCAATCAGTAGTTTAAGCCAATTTGGAATAGGTAAGCACATGCCTAGCTCAAAGCATCTCACTGAGGCTTCCTCTGCATGAAGATATGTAACTTGATGCTGAATTATGACCTGTATGATTACAGACACAGCTTAACATCAAACAGGTCCTTTAAAGGTGTCACACACTGCACTGTATTGTTTCATTTAATGTATCGCAGACACTAGAAATACTGTCTAGGATATGGGCAGAGCTCTTGCTCTATCCAGCCTTGAGGTAAGCTCCAGAACGGGTAAAATACTTTCAGGAATACAATGGTAAAATGGCCAGAGAATCCCTCTTCCACTGGACACCCTTCCTCTTCCTGCAACATATATATCAACAGTGACTGGATAGGAAAACGAAGCAGAGGGAGATAAAACTTGAAGAATATGCCTGGGCACAGTCATCAAATATGAAAAAGAGACAGAAAAGTTAGTGTGAAGGCCAGCATGGCTGAGAACAACAGATATGTGAGGAAATCATATATTTTTTTAGTGAACAAGACAGATAATTGAGGAGGACTGGTCAGAGATATGTAAGGTCCCATACTGCCCAGCAGAAGCATGCATGCATTGATTACTCCTTTTCACACAGTATCAGAAGGAAGGGGCACCCAATGAAATGAGCAAGCACCACATTTACAAGGGAAGCCAGTTTTTGCACTGATCACATAATTGGGTAAATTTTCTGCTGCAAGATGTTTATATAGAGACAAAAATACTAATAGATTTGAAAGATTAGACAAATTTATAAAGGATAGTTTCTTACATCTGGATATAAACTCTGATTCAGGAAATTGCTAAACCATTGATTGTAATGGAAAAAAAAAACAACCACTTTATGTGTCTGCTGTTTCCTCTACTTTTCCCCTAACCATCCATTCATGTTAATGCCAAATAGTAAACAGTACTAGAAACTCTTATGAACAAAGTACATACAACCTGTGGATGTGTACTAGTTTATCTCCACTGGCTAGCCACCGGAAAGGAAACTGATTCTTGTCATTCTTGACCCATTTCATCCAAACAGAATCAACTGTCAATAGGGAATGAGTTACAGATTAAGAACACTGCAAACAGGGAAGTCTTTACAGGCCCACTCTTGGTGCATGTGTGTATGAACCTCCACATGCACATTCAAAGCTTAGCCCAATGCCCAGTTCTTGGTCATGCATCCTCAGCTTTCCTGAACCACCGTGTTTCACATCATGTCCCAGCAACTATTTGTTTATTGGGTTTTATATGACATGTGTTACAGCTATTTAAAACTAATTTCAATTAAGGAATGGATCAGATGTCATGATGATTCCAGCTACCCTTTTTTTAAGAAAAATTGCCCTGGAAGGAGAGTGTTTGGATATCAATTTAGTAATTAAGTAGCCAAACTATGTGATTAGACTACATCAAATTAGTGACCATTCACCAGCTGACACCACCAACTAATGCCTCCTGCCACTAATTGACTTTATTTCCACTTCCTTTAATGAGAGCTACCTGGTTTCAAGATGTTAACTGGATTTACATGCCTTTCAGATTGCTCCTTTCGATAAACATCCTGCCTCTCTCCTTCTCTTCACTTATCCCTACCAGTATCAGCCCTCTCACCTTTCAACCCTTTTTTCTCTTTTTTCTTTCGTACACTTCCATTTTTAAGCTGCAGCTCTCAAATAAACAAGCAGTATAATTTTGGACAATATACAGTGACACATTGTGAAAATTCAGTGTAAGAAGGCAGGTGAGCGCTGCCTTTGAGTAGAAAGCTGTCCCCAAAACAAAGAAACCTGGACAGGCTGAATGGTCTTAGCATAAGGTCAGGATCCTTTGACTGCAGGGAGCTTCCTAAATTTACCTGCTCAGGCATGAGGGGTGGAGCATGGCCAGCAACAGGAAATCACGCCTGAGCCCTGCACATCCTAAATTCAGCCTCGTTTAATGTGGCCACTCAAAAATAGCACCTCTCCTATGCCTGCCCCTTGCACTGCCTATGTGCATGGGGCAGGTGTAAGGCAACCCAGAGAAGGCAATCTCAGCAGGCACAGAGCACTCTTGCCCCATGGGGTGCTGGCCACACTTTCATCTGTAGGAACATAAAATACACTACAGCTTTGCCCAGCTACCATGGTATATACTCTGGGTTATACAGCACAAACCAGAGCAACCCCGTGGCGTCTGTAAATGGTGAGAGCAGAGCTGAGAGTGCTACACTTCTCTCCAAGTTGTGCTGAGTACAGAATAGCCTTTGTCCTCTCTGCTCGTGACAGATCGGCCACATACACAGTCTGGATCAGGCTGCCCCCAGATTTGGCTTAGGACTATATAGGTTAATGAATATCACTTATCATTCATAGAAAGTTTGACTATACAATACACATTGCCAAGGAAAACAACTGTATGTTAGTATCATTCACTGCTAATACGGGACACAAAGGAATTTTAAAAGACCTTCACCCATGAAGGATGGAAAAAGCATGAGCATGGTAAGAAGACATTTAAAAAAAAACAACCCACCTTTAATTTGTTCTTAAATATCAACATTATTTTAACATAACACTCCTAGATTAGAAAAGTGATCTTAGCTGTGCAAAATTGCATTCACGAAACAGAAAGTGGCATTATTTTAATGCTCTTAAAATTGAAGTAATAAACTTTAATTCATTTTTTCAGCTGAAAAAATATTTTAATATAATTATCAATTGTAATTCAAAGTGAAAATATGCTTCAATTCATGTTTAACTTTTTGACACTTTTGTATTGTAACATATACAATTTCAAAATCATAGAATCATAGAATAGTTAGGGTTGGAAAGACCTTAAGGTCATCGAGTTCCAACCCCCCTGCCATAGGCAGGGACACCTCGCTCTAAACCATATCTCCCAAGGCCTCATCCAACCTGGCCTTGAACACTGCCAGGGATGTATTTCGTTTCTTCTTTTACAAGACAACTGAAAAGCTTGCTACAATATGGGTCAAAGCAAAATTCTCATGCCTAAAGGACTGTGTTCACTGAGTTTATCTTTTTTATGTGTATAAAAATCGCCTCTTTATTTGTTTTCTGCTAATCAGCAATCATTGTTAGAAATAATTGACAATAGGATTTGTCTGGAGAGCTGTAAAATTTTTAGAATATATTTGCAAGGCTGATTTTAAAATCACATAGTATAATATATATTACAACATATTGTCTCTGCCACCTTAGAAGAAATCATTGATACAACTGAGTCAGCCAGCACTGGCCTTGATGGAATAGCATTGGCACAAAAGAAATAGTGCAGTAATGCATTCCCAAGAATTGAGAGCTAATAGAGAGCAACATAAAGGGTATTACCCAGGATGTAATACTCTAATTCTCATACATACGACTCCATTTTACATCAGGATGCAGACAAGCTCAGAAGAAAACCTTTGGGAGGAAAAAGGGAGGATGAGGTACAAGGGTTTGTCCATGAATAGAAGAAGCTGATTCACCTATACAACCTTTCTGGCCCAAGTGCAAGGCACATGTGTTCAGTGGCACTAGGTGTGAATTTTAAGGAACTCTCTCAAGATAACGAGTTCTCCAGCATTCCAGATTTGCCCTTGATTTTTGTTCCTCCTCTACAACTCCCTTCTCATCTTGAGCAGGAAAGTCCTATACTGGCAAATGGCTGAGGGCAGTAACCCTAGAGACAGATCTGAGTTGTTTCAAACAACTGTTGTTCACTCCTGAGAAATTTAGCTGGATCTGGATAATTTAGCAAAAGTATGTTTGGGGAGTTTTTAGTCACATTTGTTACACTTCTGTTGCTCTTGTGCCACAGCCCCACCATGCTGTAACTTCACAGGAGCGTGACAGTCCCTATCCCAGAGCTTGTCGCAAGTGCTTCTGGCCAAGAAATGCAACTGAAGGAGGGAAAGGCAGGTTTCTTGGTCTCTGTAAATTCCTACATTTTGCTTAGTGTTTTGCCTCCCAACATCTGTCCTGTAAAAAAACTCATATTTCTGAATCAACGACTCCAGAATCTTAATTTAAGATTGCCAGTCATTTACCACCCTTTCACAGCAACTGTTTCTTTGTGTGGGTGTGGGTGTGAATGCTCATATGCCCCACATTTGCCATGATCTGAATCTCTACACTGTAGGACAGAGGTTTGCATCTCTGTTGTCCTGCATCTTCAGGCTGGCATTTACATGCTGGATGCACATGCTAAACATTACTATTGTTATCAGGCACTGCCCACACTGCACTCACCTCAATGGCTACATAAGATGCACGGCAAAGGACAATCAGCCTCCAGGTTTCTGGGCAAAGTACATAGCTCTCGATTCTGTCATTGATTTGTCAGGAGATGTATACTCAAGTAGGTGGTTCAGAAGAGGATCCTTTAGGAAGAGTGTGGTCAGATTGACCTCACTTTCACTGAGCTGACAGCCTGGTGAAGAAAGTTAAACTGAATATCAAAATCATCAGCAAAAAATTCCTCTTTCTTTGATTGTACAGTTTAAGAGGAGCCATTCGAGCTCAATTTATTCTCTACACAGGAACTTCATTGATTATCTCAGACATTCATGCAGGAAGGAAGATGAGATAAGAAGAAAGTTCTATTTTTTTTTTAAGTGATTGCAAGATGGAGAAAACTGCTTTGTGAGTGTAATATATACCATAAAGTTCCCTTTGTGCAATCTTCTACTGAAAAGTGAGAAGAGTTTACCTTTTCTGAACAAAAGAAACATTAGAAATGGGCTGATGATTACTGAGGGCAGAGATATGAATACTAGGATTAAGGTATATATTCAGATATAAGATTAGCATACAGAAAAAATAAGTTTTCTCAGGTAAAATATTGTGGCGGTTCTCCCATTGTCTTGTACTGTCAATCACCAGCACTGAGAAGAGAGACTGATCACTATTCATTTTTTTCCAAACGGTATTCTGGTTTGATCTCAGGCTATCAACTATAATGGGCATTTCCACTGAATTTAAGAGGGAATCAATCCTGATTCAAAGCTGCTGCCATGAATGGAGATAGGTGTTCATTTGTGTTCTACCAAAGGCAAACGGACACTCCACCAGTCTTCCTCTGGTGGGAAATGTGGGACTGCAAGCCCAAACTCTAGAAGCACACAGAGGCACTGCATTACTGCTCCAAACACTTGTAGGTTACTGGAAAGGGTGAGGAAGCAATATGTGTTTTTTCTGAACTTTGGTGGTTGTAGTAGGAATTGAGTGGATTATGTATAAACATACACTAGGAGAGTCTCTACACTCAAGTCAGTTGCTCAAATGCAGTTATCCCCCTCACTGAAAACATTGTACCTCCTAAAGAACCAGGCAAGCACTTTCACATGAGGGTAGTTCTTGTGCATTGATGCAGAAACTTTAAGTTTATAAATTTCTCAGGTTCATTTACACAGCACCAAAAAACCTTCAAAGGCAACCTCTTATGCAGGCAATACTTTATAGGCACGTGCTTTGAAACAGTTGTTTCAATTGAGGACAACTAGTCATCATACGGGAAGAAACTGGAGGGGACAGCAAGGCTCAGTCAGACTGCTTTTGTGCTTTTTTGATCTTGGGATTGCTCTGTGTCAGTCCAGTCCTCTGGCACAAGCCAAAGTGACATGTGAAATATATCAGCTGTGAGTGGCACTAAAAAGATGTTATGATTTGTGCTTTTATTCTTAACACTCTGCTGACAGCAGTTGAGTACTGGAATGGGAGCCCCTAGAATAGCTGCACCAGTGAAACAGCTATACAACAGCCTTAGCTGAGCAGCCTTTAAATCTCCTTCACAAAACTCCTGGAAAGAGAGATTAATCTCATCCATATATTAAAACAAAGAGCATCTCTACTGTCCCAGCTAGACAAATATGAACTAAACCAGCAAAAACATTCTTACTTCACAGATTGCTTCTGCAGGGTCACAGCAGAGCTGGTTGTAGGTAGTTCAAGAATTAAGAGCTGCAAAAGCAACTGGAAGTGTGCCTCAGGGAGGAGCAAAGCAGATCAGTATGTGTACCGTCTCTTCTGTATTTGCTTATACTGGTATTAGATTTTGGTGTAAGCATAGGTTATAGAGCACTGAAGTGAGGGACTCTTGAATTCTAATATCCTCTCTTACATTAACCCTTTTTTCCTTGGGCAAATCTCCTAACTTTTTTGATTCCTATCATTTATCTTCACAAATGTGAATAAAACTATACAGCCTATGTCATAATAGTGCTGAATGTTGGTATACTACTACTGATTTTAACCACAGATTTATGCAGAAGTCGTATTTACCAGAAAGAGCTTGTAGAGAAGCTGCATCATGACGCACCTTTTAAAAGCTCAGTACAAGGTAGAATATTCACATTTGGCATTTCTCTGACACATGCATGCAGGGTGGGATGTTTTCTAATATTTATTGTCTCCCAAACACTCTGAAGCTGACAAATCAAGCATTTTTAAATAGACACTTAAAAAAAAAATTACTCAGCTGCTAAACCAATCACTGTGGGTTGTAGCTCAAAATGAAGCTGGAAATCTGCACCTTTTAATAAAACAATCTGCTTGAGAGCTGATGATATTTGGTTATGGAATTTATCTGTAAATATAATTAAAAATTCAATGAGAGAGTGCTCTGAACTGAGGGGTAAATATTCAGCACGATGCAGAGTGCTCAAGCTACATGATTCCCATTATCGTTAATGGGAGTCCTACAGCTAAATCCCTAAGCATCACGCTAAAAATTTACCCCCTAGTGTTTGCAGATGGAACAAAAGGATTATTGTACATACCAGCAGAAAATAAAGTTACCACTGACATTTTGACCAGAAAGCTTCCATCAGGATTGATCAGAGAAAGATTTAGACTACTAATCCCCCCGCAGACTCTTTCTTTGGGGTTTCTCCCATCTGAAAAAGCATTCCTGATTTTTATTTAATGTGTTTCTATTTACTGGTTCTCATGTCATTATATCTCTCAAATTCCTCTCCTTCTGGCTTCCTACCAGAACACTTCTCTCTGCTTCACACCAGGCTTCCTGGCTTCAGTGTGCACAATTTCAGGTTCCTGAACCTTAAACATAATGGAAGTAAGGACAGAAGAAAAGTACATATGCCAATGACCTTTCAGCTGAGTTGGCCAAGTGTGCAAATTTACCCAGCAATAAAATGCTGCAGGGAACTTTGGGGTGATTAAAAAGTTGAGGGGGAGGGGAACACACACAAGCAACTTCATTCTTTCCTGGTTTACACCTTCTGCTCTTCTTGAGTCAGGGCTACCAGCTGTCAGGTGTCCCTACCCCTCTTGAAATCAACCACAATTCAGGAGTTGAAGCCTGATGGTGCGAGAAGATTTAACAAGCATCCTCGATTAGGTATGGGCTGGAGCTAAACAATGCAATCCATTAACTTTTTTAGGTGTTTTTTTATAACACTTTCTCAGATAATGGAAACAATGTTTCTGACCCATTTTTTAAAAATGTAAATACACACACACACACACACACATATACCAAAATGAGAGAAAACCTCTAAAAGTCTAATTTCCTTTCTCGATTTCACTTATTCTAACTCAAAAATAGCGAGAAAGGCATTTATTTATCCTTTGTAGACCTTGCTGCAGTCCTGAGTGAATTCTTATGGGTGAGTTTTAAAGCCCTCAACAATAGGGGCTTATAATGGAAACACTGATAGACCGTTACTGTAGTGCCAGTCATAAATACAATGCAATTTCTTTTTATACAACATTCTTCATACAAAATATCTCAAAATGGTTTACAGTAAGCATCAACTTCAAACTAAAGCAAAGTGGAAAAGAATCTAAATGTGAAATTTCATTGACTTCAGCAAGGGGGATAGAATTCCTTACAGGGTAACACAAATAAAAGTGCAAGATTTCTCCAGCCAGGCTTTTCTGTAGAAAGCTCTTAGAAGGCTGAGAATACACATATAAAAAGTACCCTTCTCTCAAAAATTCAAGATTTCAGCTCCTTGTTCCTCTCTTTAACTTTTTATACTCGCGAGGCTCCTTTACACACCTCAGCAAAGACATTTATTAAATATTCTGGCAGGATCAGGGCTAAACTCCTGAAATGTCGTCAATTTCAAAAGGGCTAAGGGCACCTGACAGCTTGTAGCCTTGTAGTCCTGACCCAAGAAGAGCAGAAGGTGCAAATCAGTAAGGAATGAAGTTGCTTGCCTGAGTTCCCCTCCCCCTCAACTTTCTAATCACCCCCAAAGTCCCCTGCAGCATTTTATTGCTAGGTAAATAATATAATGAAAAAGTGCCTACATAACACAAGCCACATGGGCACAGACAGCTATTAAAACTGAAATGATTTATTTCATAACAATCCGAGGTAGCACAGTTTAACTCAAGGTATAGCAACCCCTCCATTTCTGCTTGCCTCATTTGCATAGGTAATTGACAGCTTGTTAACAGCTCATTAGGAACACTGAAAACCATGTGACAGATACAAACCTAGTGCTAGAGGGGAGAAAATCTGTGAATTGCAGTATATTGAAAACTCAATCAGATTCAGAATTACAGGTCACAAAACAAGTTGGTTATTTTATTAGGTTAAAAAAATTAAAAGGTTAACATATCGTTTTTCGACCTGTATTTTTAAGATAGCAGGCTACAAGGTAATTAATTAAGAATCTGATTGTGATGTGAGCTATTCCTTGCTGCCATGAGTAGGTTTAGGAATGATACTAGATTGACACAGAAGGACAAGTAATCATTGCTGAGAATTTTTAAAAACATTAAAAAGACTTGATGTGGTATTCAATTTTGGGCTTGGAATATAACTTTCTGAAAAAAAGTAAGTAACTTACAGTCACTGCTATCTAATATTCTGTAACTGAGAAAAATGTGAGGAATAATTTTATTTTAGTCTATAAAAAGAAGATAAGTGTTCTGATTTGCACACTCTTACTATCAGTAAATTTTGATGATGCTTTTTTTTAAAGGACATTTGAATATAAACAGTGCAAATAACAGTTATATCAGCAAATCTACTTTTTGTATTAAAGGCAAACTATAATCTTGTTTTTCTAGCACTGCTAGCAGAAATACAGGAACTTGTAGAATTAAATTATTTTCTTATATAAACTCTCCCTTTCCTTGAAACATGATATGGATTCTCTGTAATTCATGTAACATTTGCTGTTGAGGACAGAGCTGGCCAACTGCATCTTAATCTGTAGAGGAAACCAGTAAGCTGTGTGATTTCAGATCTTTTTTCAGACACGAGTGGTTTATAGATTATTCTCTCTTCCCTCTGAAAATACATCAACAAAATATGATCAGATTTAAAACCCTGACTATTTAGGAAAAGGAACAGCAATGTTAAAGTGAAGGATCATAGAAATCCCTTAGTGCTTGTTCACACGGAGGGTTGTGCTGTTTCAGGTCAAGAGAACTGCTGCAATACAGATACATATGCTATTTAGATATGTCCCATGTAAATAATGTCTTATAGAGTTTCTTATCTGAAATCATGGATCTACTTCTGTACTAGAAATATAGCCATATGACTATAGTAGTCTGGCTAGTGGGGATAAAATATCCTTGGGGATAAAATATCCATGGGTACATGGTTTAAGAATGATTAATGAATCTGTGACCTGCGATACAACGAAAGTCGCACTTGTAAGTCACTCAGTACTTTTGAAAGCTCCATCTTTAGTCTTCATTATGAATAACACCAATAGGGCTGTTGTGCCCCCGCCTTTAATTACACTGACTCCTGCACCAGTGAAGTTATACTGTTGTAACCAAAGCAATATAAACTTCTAATGCAGACATGCTCCAAAGAGTATAAAGAGAGCTTTACACATAGCACCACTGACCCAAGATTTACACTGAGCTTAGACGAAGCATGATCCACATACACTGAAGAAAAATTAGCTCTTTTTTTTTGCCCTTGAGCCCATATCAACTGAAGCATTTTTTTCAAAGAAAATGTCAGTGCATGACTGGTGAGAAACAATCGCAATGCAAGTTCAACAAGTTCAAGATCATAATCAACCAAGACATTGTATTATCGTATTATTATTATATCGCATTATGGCAATCAGAACTCAAAATCAAGGGCTTCAAATCAATTATGGCTTCAAAACTCAAAATCAATGAATTTTATTTATATGACTTGTCTTTGACCATACCCATACAAACAACAATGCAAATGTTGTGTTTGACAGTAGGTCTCACACCTGAGTACTGAGTCACAGTTCTCAGGAGAAAGGCCTTGATCTTGGAACTTTCCCCATGCCATGTTTCAATCATGTATATGACTTCACTGGCAAGTTCAATATTCTTTGAGGTCTGGGCTTTGTTTTTAGCTTTTGGGGTTTTTTTCCGCTTGGTTTTTTACAAGTGAGAATTCCACTTTGATGTGCTTTCTGTTTATCTGTTTCTGTGCTTTGTTTATCTGCAAAGATAAACACTGAAAATCAGTAGCAAAACTTTTTTAAGAAGCAGATAACTTTCCAGTTAGACTGGGCTGAATTACAGCTGAAATTCTGGGAATATATTCTTTTTCTGCATTAACTACTCAGTCAACCCTTGTAAGCAGATGACATGATTAAAATGAAGTTTGAACTTTTTCTGTAGATTAATTCTCTGACTTATGACAAGAGTCTTCTAGTTTTCATTAACTTAAGTGCCATTTCTTTAGGACTCTTATTTTTACAGTTTCTAATCTACAGCTTTGTAATGACCTTGTCTCAGGAACATATTATGCTATATTTCCCTTCCCTCAGTCCTCAAACAAGGGGCATATAGGTTTTTCAGAAAAGGAAAAGGACTGCTTCACTTTGCCTTCCCGCTTATGAGCACATAAGATACTGGATTTTGCTACTAAGAGTGCTTGATGGTCAACCCATAGCTGCAGTCGTCTCACTGGCTTGAACATGTTAGTGCTACCTGTGAAAGGTCTCCATTTTTTAAAACTTTCTTATTCTTGTAGCATGTTCCTACACCCTTCCTTACAGAGTATGCTGTCCATTACTTCACACTGCTGCTAACTAAAGGTTCATTTCCAGAGTACCAACCCAGCACAAGGAAGGTACTTTGGCATCCATGTGTCCAAGTGCAGTGCTTTACTTGAAGGAACAGAAATGGCTAGGAAGCCTCTTTAGGAAGCACAGGGTACAGTTTGGGCTTTGCACCTGTGTGGCACTCTTGTTTTGAGCAAAACCAAGTCATTCTTCATCTGCTCACATCATAAGCTCATACAACAGCATCTGTCCTCTAGTATATTTATATAATCCTTGCCACAGCAGCAAGCACGTATGCTCACCAGCTTTATTTTAGTTTTTTTCAATTTGCAACTATGATCTAGGACAACCTTATTACAGATAATAAATATGAGATTAATTTGAATCTTTTTAATGTGTTTTCTATCAATATACATCCTTTATACTTTTGACAGCAAAAGTAACTAAAATGTGTCTGTAAACTTAAATCTTCCCAAGTCTTCTAGTGCAGCACTAGGCAACAAAAACATTTATATGTAGGCTTATAAAAGACAATGCTCCCTGATGCCAGTTTTACTGGATAGTTACTGAAGACACCTTTTTTTGTACGGCGAGAATGTACAAGTAAGAGACATAGTTTAGTTTCAGCTCAATGCCCAACACACTTCCACCAGGTTGCTAAACTATGTCTAGGACAGGAAATCAGAGGAAGGAAAATGCACATTTAGAATCACTGAATTCAGTCTTGCAATTCCATTCTTCAGGTATCTAACTTCTTTAAAGTTAGACAGCTTTAGGCATCTCATGCTTTCCTAAATATTCTTCCTGTTTAAACAAATAATGCAAATGGATGTAATATGTTCAAAGGGTTTCTCTGGGAGTCTGGGTGACATAAAGAGCTTCTTCAAAGCTTGAGAAAAAAGACCAGATTTCAATACTGACTGACAAATTGGTAGCAAATCAAATGAGGCCTTTCTAAGAAGACCTGACCCTCCAAATTTGCAAAAGCCATGAGATATCTTACAATGTTAGAATCTGCATTTTTTTTTTTGTTTGGGTTTTGTTTTAGGGAAGGGGGAATTCAACTGTGGCACAAGTTTTGCATATGTTCTGTCATAAATTATGACACATCACATCAGCTTTACAGAGTGATGCCCTACAGGCGGTCCCCATTTCAACTCTGCATCCTGCAAAGTACAGCAATTTTTTCATTAAATCTGAAATGAAAGTGTAACTAGAAATGCTGTGTTTTAGG